TGATATTCGCAGTGCAGTGAAAGTTGACATTGGATACACTGCAGCTCAACTCGTTTATGGAACGACACCTCGACTTCCAGGAGAATTCATGGATCCTTCATCCTTTTCAATGAACATGGATTCAACCTCCTACACGAACAGGCTTACAAACGCAGTGCATTCAGTTAAACGTGTTCCAACTCGATCGCAATCAACTGATGTTTTCGTTCAACATGACTTACGATATAGTACACACGTCTTCGTACGTCGAGACTCGCATCGAAGACCTTTCGAATCAGCATACGGGGGGTCTTTCAAAGTTCGTCAACGCGAACCCAAGTACCATATAGTCGACAAGAACGGAGCCAACGATAGCATCAGCATCGATCGCCTCAAGGTAGCGTATTTAGAAGGAAACTCTGTCCACATCCATTTTCCTTCGATACAATCGAAAGACGCGACTCCTACATTCGTGATACCTCCTCCGACAGCCAACACGCACGATGATACTCTGGGAGTATCTGAAAATAGACACAAAACAACGCGTTCTGGACGAAAAGTAAGGTATCCAGAACATTTAAACAGTTATTGCACGTAAGACACTAGTTAACATTTTGTTTCATCTCTATTTTTCTTTGTATTATATATAATATAAAACAACAATTTTAATATGCTTATATATTTATATATTTATTTCAAGAAAAAAATGACCATTTTGTAAAAATCGTTTTCACGTTAACACATGCGCATAAGTTTACCTTCCTTTTCTCGCCCGCTTTGTGTTTTTACGCACGTACGAGTGTATTTCAACATGCACTTACATACCCTTTTTTCTTTTTCAGGACGGCTGGAAAAGAAGATAAAAAGAACGAAATTATCGTTGTACCTTGTTTCTTAATTGCTATATTGCACTTCGTGGTCCGTTATAACAAGGAAGGACGACCAGACGCTGCTAAGCATAGCAAGCTATCAGACGAGTGTTCACCAACGACCAACTTCCGTGTGGTTACATCTCGAAGTCATTACCACCCCACTGGGGGGAGTGATATGTAGCGGCAAATAAATGGACGAACTTAACGCCTGCGGCTTTCAAACGATTCAGTAAAGACGGTTGCATATGACTTTGTCAACAGTGCTGTTCGGATGCAAACAGCTTGCTAACCGAGACCATCTCATTGCTAGGTGCCGCAAAAAGTAGTTTGACAAGCGCGGTCGGGACACATCGAACAGTACTCGCTCTGTCAACACGCAAATCGGTACGTAGCAAGCTCAGGTGGGTTCGAAAACAGGTGACTCACACCGAACAAGGAAGGAAAAACAGTCTTCTATTAGGTCTGTCTTAACTAAAAACTCAAGAAAAGAAGTTTCTTCTTTCCCCTGTCTTCTAAATGGTATCCAGCAGGAAATGCCTAGAAGCCACAACCGCAAGGCTCAATCGGTTTCTAGCGGGTAACTTAACCTGACCTCCCAAGTCGTCGACAAATCTCCGGAATCCTACAGTATGTTTGACGTGACTGTGGTTGTCTCCCAAGCAACGTTGACGAATGGGTACAGGTTGTAAGGAAAAAACAACACAACGATATAAAAAGAAATCCTGCCCCCATAAAAGTAGTCGAGAAATCGAAGGATGATCACAGTGACAGATCAGTTATTTTCCGTAGAATCAAGGAGAGTGAAAGCTCTGAACCAAAAACCCATTCTGAACATGACATTGTGCTGATAAAACAGCTACTTAGTCAACGCATGCCTCAAAATATCCCCGGAGTCACCTTGTTAAAGGTGTACAGACTGGGTAGTCTAGCGAACCTGAAGCCCAATCAATCCAGACTTCTTAAAGTAGTATTCAAATTTTCGAATGAACGCGAATTAATTTTACAGAATGGACACAAATTAAAGGATTTAGGAGTTTTTGTCCATAAGGACTTGCCGTTGGTAGACCGCGTAAAAAGACGGGAAGCCGAAAAAGAACTACAACTTAGGTCAGACGCTGACGAAAAAGATATGAAAATTTTAAATTTTTTGGTTGTAAGACTCAGACAGAAAATGATGCTGAAGCCACTATGGGTGAAGCACGAAGCCACTTAAATAGGCTTCGGATCTGTTACACTAATGCCCGAAGCTTACTCAATAAGCGATCGGAACTAGGTGTACAGATTGACTCTACAAAGCCAGTCATAATCGCAGTCACAGAAACCTGACTGACACAGTCTATAAGTAGTATGAAACTTGATTTCGAGGGTATTACGTTGGTAAGGGCCGACAGAATACAAAAGCGTAAATGAGGGTAAGTAGCTCTATTCGTTAGGAACGCTGTCCCATTTGCCATTATCGACAGTGCATCCCATGAGAGTGGGACGTGTAAATTAATTAGTTGCCGCTTGAAATACAAGGGACAAGAACTGCTGATTGGTTTGGTCTACCGCAGTCCAAGCTGTGTGGTAAATGAAGTCCTGCTAAGCAGTCTCAATACTTGGTCACAAAGTGGTCGATGTGTAATCCTAAGGGACTTTAGTGCACCTATGGTAGGCTGAGAAAATCTGCCAACTGAATTGTCAGAAAACTCCTTCGAGCAGGAACTAGTTGATGGGATTATCACATGAGCCCTAGTGCAACATGTGAAAGAAGCGACTAGGTACGACCCGGACACTGAATCATCCTTACTAGATCTTGTATTGACTCACTATGAGGGTGACGTTGCGAACCTCCATTACATGCCACTTCTAGGTAAAAGTGATCACGCAGTTTTAACTTTCGACTTTCATATAACTCAATGACGAACACGCGTTAGCTCAATCCAAACCTAACTTCTTGAAAACAGACATACCAGATATCACGCACTCAGCATCGTTAGCAGATTGGACAATAGGCCCAGAGTCTCCAATTGAAACGGCTTGGGACGCATTTCGAAATTTATATTTAAAAGTTACCGCACCTCACATCCCTTGAACTATACCAAGGGGGCCGAGAAACTCTCCACCATGGTTCAGTAGGGAGGACCGTATCCTTCTCCGTAAGAGAAAAAAATGTGGGGTAGATTTAGGTTACTGAGGACTGATGAGAAAAAATCTCAGTATCAAAAAACCCGGAATACCTGTGCCTCAACCCTCCGTAAGTCTAGAAAGTTGTGCGTAGAAAAAGTGTTAAGGAATCCATGGAATGTCCTAAATGCTTGCATTCCTGTATAAATCAAAGGACAAAAAAGAGGAAATATTCCTGCACCATGGGGAGACAGTACTGCCGCATCACTGGTAGAGGACGACTTTGGTAAGGCTCAAGTGTGCTCGAACTACTTTAGCAATGCGTATACCACAGGAGCACTCTTCCCATCAGCGCATACAAATCCCCTACACATACACTGTATAGTGTGGCCATTAAAGAACTCGTGTGTTTGGTCTGCTAAATAAGCTTGACATAGGTCAATCCACGGGGACCGATGAATTGTGTCCAAGGCTACTAAAGGGGCTATCTAACTTCGTTGCGAAACAATTGGGTATATGCTTGAATCTATCCGCAACGTAGGGTCGTTTACCAAAAGACTGGAAAAACGCCATAGTAAGTCCTGTCTTCAAAAGAGATACGAAACACAAACCTGAGAACTACCGCCCCATTAGCCTCACTAGTGTGGTTGTTAAAATCTTAGAAAAGATTATTCGGAAGCTGTTTAAATACATCGATGAAAACCGGATCCTCTCGGAGAAGCAGCACGGTTTCGGAATAGGTTACTCTTGTCTCACTAACTTATCAGTCGCTCATGAAAGCTTGTGCGCTCTTAAGGACCAAAAGTTACCTGTAGACGTAGCCTAAATCGATTTCAGCAAAGCTTTTGACAAAGTTACACGCAACTGGTTGTTATATAAGCTAAGAAATGTCGGATTTGGAGGCAATTTATTGATGTGGATAAAAGACTTCTTAGTTGGGCGTCAATAAAGAGTAAGGGTGAACTCAAAGTTATCTAGCTGGGAAACTGTGCTTAGTGGAGTGCCCCAGGGTACAGTTTTGGGGCCAGTGCTATTCCTCTTGTATGTAAATGACCTTCCTTGTCTCCTATCATCATCGGTCTTGCTATATGCTGACGATGTCAAGATATGGAGAACGATACGATGTGAGGGTGATAGCTTAGAACTCCAAAATGACCTGGAGAAATTACCTGAATGGTCTGAAACCTGGCAGTTGCCGATAAATACTTCCAAGTGTGTTGTGATGCATATCGGTCATCAAGGTACAGATACATACACGATGAATAACACTGAGCTACCTGTCGTCCAGACATATAATGACTTAGGAGTCATCGTTAGCCAAGACTTAAAGACTACTGCACACTGCCGTGCAATAGCCGCCAAAGGTTTTAGAACTTTATGGTCAATACGTAGGGCTCTTAGTCATGTCGACGCTAAGACGTTTTTGACTTCATGTACAGTGTTCGTACGTCCTAAACTTGAGTACTGCATACAAGCGGCCAGCCCACGCTTAAAAAAAGACAGTGAGCTTCTGGAAAAGGTTCAGAGAACATCAAATAAACCGATTACCGGAGGAGCGAAGCTTCCGTGTGAATCTCGACTGGCCAAGCTAAACCTATTACCGTTTTCACACCGTAAAATTAGAGGCGATTTGATTACAGTCTTCAAATTTCTTAGTGATAAATTTGCACCTGATATGCCCTCCTTTTTCTTGCCTTCCAAGACAAGGAATTTACGAGGACAATCCAAAAGGGCTCACAAGCCCAGAACAAATTATTTGTCAGCTGACTATCGACTTTCCCACCAAATCATCAACGAGTGGAATTCATTACCTCAGCACATGGTTGAGGCTCCACCCGTCGACTCTTTAAAAAGATAGTTGGATCAGCTGAGAGACAAACATTTCCATGAGTAACACAGACCATCAAGCCTCCTGTCCTTTCCAAAATGAGACTGAAACTGAATGAAGGAACAGTAGCACTGTGTGACCTTGAGGTCACTAGTTTTACTGCGCTTTGCTATAGAAACGGAGTTTTGACCCACTTAAATATTTCTCTATCTCAGGTCACCCTAAATTGAGATCTAGAGTTTCGGTGAGTGTATGGTTTATCATAGCTTGACGTATCCAAACTCTGCAGTATATCTGACTCATAAAGATGTTTAAACTTGAAATAAATTCTGCGAATGGTATACACCCAAGCAACACAAAAAGGGGAAATAAAGGGGAAGAAAGGGGAAATAAAGCGGACGAAAGCGTAAATAAAGGGGAGATGTCGCTTTTTCGCTTTTACGTCGGTTATTTAGGGGAAATGTCGCTTTTTCCCCCCTTACGACTATAATGTGTTGAACACATTATAGTCACCAGGCCAACATGACACGAGCATATTTCCAAAACGTCATCAGTTGGCTCCTCGAGGCAGCCTTAATCAAAGAGCGGACACTCATGCACGTCCTCATACTTTTCACCGAGAATTCACTTCATTTGAAATACTCCCTCACTCAATCTCCCTGTTTTAAAATAGGGAGATTGAGGAAGCTGCTATATAAAATTTTGGGGAGATGGCACAAAACCCCCAAAATTGGGAAATCGAGCATCAGAAGTGACCACACCGTCATTAGTAAGCAACTGTCAGAGAAGACCTAAAAAGCACTTACTCAACCACGAATTACCGTATCCCCCGTCTACAGGCTGTGTCTGTTGCAAGTCCGAATGGTTGCCACGGTTATCATAACTGCATGCCAGTAACAGCGTTTTATTCCTCTTATTATCATCTCTGTTTCCACCTTTATTCTTTCGATTCCGTCTTCTTAAACATGACCAATTAAGTGAAGTGCGTATTCAGTTTTGGAAAGTTCTTAGCACTCGAATAACCATTTTATTATTTCCATATTTCAACTATTGTGATAGGCGCTGGTATCCAGAATCTCCATCACGCTGAGACAAACATACTGAAATCACAAGACATACAAATCCATAAATATCTACCAATCAGACTATAATTAGTGCATTTGAGTGACTAGACTACTGCCAATTAGACATCATTGAATACTTGGAACTGTACTAAAATAACAAACAGGTAGTCCAAAGAAATCAACTGATTTGTACAAACTTGTGACGGAGATATTAAACAATGAAAAATAACGGGTCCTTCAGAGTTGTTTGAATAACTTGTATGTGTGAGATTATTTGTCAGTCCTATGTGTCTAAACAAGAGCTCAGACGATGAAGTTGGTTTATCGTAGATCTTTATAAAGAAAGTTTATTGAGGCGTACATTCCTCAAATTTGTGAAGTTAGCATTCCTGACACATTATGGATTTCAACATTTATTTCTTAGAAGTCAAACTATTGACTGTAATTTAAGGATTCTGAAAGACTTTTTAAGGTTTAATAATTTCACATTGGTGGTTTACTGACAAGACCAGCTGTGACTAATGTATAGTACCTAAGGACTCCTTAAATTTAAGATTTTGATAATGGAATGTGAGGTAGAAATTAAATGTTTAGGTACGGATTTTTAAACAGATTTTATTATTTATCATTGATGTCATTTGAAATAGACATTTTACTTGAGGTGGTACTGATTTGCATTTACGTGAAACATGATTTTTGTTGATCTACATTTGATCACTGGTTATGAGGTTGAGTAGCAATCGATTTTTGAAGATAAATGAACACCATCATGAAACTTTCACATAGGAGGCACAAATCATGTGTTGTAGTGCGTAGAACTTTGAGCTGATTAAACATGAGGCGTGAATTCATGATGAATTGGAAACTTGTAAATCACAGAGACAGTAAGCTTAATGCATTACATTTTGACGAAACAGGCTAGGTCAACAATAAATGCTCTTCAGCTGTCATAGTCTGAGGAAGCCAGCCTCTGACCAAAAAATGTTCTCTATAGAGAGACATTCAGGGAAAGTATGAAAATTTTGACCTATAAGTCAGCTGTATTGTCAGTTCTGAAGGTTTTCTCGCAGCAGTGATATTTTGGTTTCATGTATCAATGTTATGACCAGTCAGTAGATGATTTGAAGTCTGTCCATAATTTAAGCATTATTTAGCTTACAGAAAGTGTATAAAGTTAGCTACAGTAAAAACTACTCATAAGCGTTTCTTCAAGTCAAATTTGTCCATGCGCAGTTTTATAAATATGCATCTGTGGTACAACTACCTAATAAAACTCTAACAGCGTAATTACCGCTAAACCAACCCATATTACTGTTTACAATGTTTTATTAAGTAACAGTCACCAGTCTAAGAACAAAAACTTTTTTGTATTATCAAGAACCATGTATTCATTTCGGGTAAAAATATCCGCCTCAAATTCCAAGTAAGATGATAGGTTTAGTGAAGTTTTTGTCAGTTCTTATTTTGAGGTCGACTCAAAAAACATTTAATACTTATATTTTTTGAAGTCTGTTATTTTGGGTTGAAGTGATCAGTGGTAACGCACTTACTGCTCAGGCTTTTGCAACGTTAACGAACTTATTGGAAGGGTTTCAACAACCGGTGTTTTATCATAGGACTATCTCTAAAACGAGTGTGAATGGGCTGAACTTATGATATTTTTAAAAGGTTGATAATTATCCACCACAATTCACCCCTAAAACCGAAGAGCCATAATATGAAGGATACGCAGATCAATGACGAGCAGTGATGCCTAAACTGAGATGGTCAATTAGATAGCTGGTGGTTTGACCGAGCTTCAAAATTAAAGCAAATAGGAATAAGAGGGAAATATTGATTAGGCGAGTGAAATACACTCCAAAGTAGGGAGATAGGTTGTGTACACAAAGCTGCAGCCAGTGTAATTTGATGTAAACTATCTGTTGATTGGTTGATGACTGAACAGGGCAAGTAAAAGTTTACCAAATAGCTACCAAAGCTGAGATTCTTTTCATCCTATGCAGCAACCACCATTTGAATTATCGTTCTTTGACTTTAAAAAAGGCCATATTTATTAGTAACTGATAAAAATCTTTACCAGTCATACTATTTTGTTAACTAATCGATAGCAAACAACCTAACGAATTATTTTTACTAGACCTTACAGAGCCAAATTGTTTTATTTAATCAGAGGAAAATAACATTAATACAAACATGCAAGTTGTTAAGAACGTGTTTGTTAAATAGGAAACTTAGTCAAGATTAATAATCCTTAAGTCTTATGTTCTTACTAGAAGTTTGATTCTCATGTAATTCTCAAAACGTAGTATATTTTACTTGTCATTACAATTCTTGTGCATAAAAGCTTGAAACAAAGAACAGTGGACTTATGTCAGCCAATTTATGGAATAAAATACATAAAATTAACGAGTTCAAATCTCAATTATCTAAAGCGCTTAATGATGTAGACAAATTAAAAGAGCTAGCTATGTGGGAAAATGGCCAGATTGAAAATCAAATCGATGCAGAGGCACTTCGACGCTATCGAAAGGCGAAGTCCAAGGAAGCTGAAGAACTTAATAAGAAAAAGTAAATTAACAGTTATGGATAAAATGATATTAAACTCTGAAACGTCTAGAGAGCATTTAAAAGCTGTACTGACGAACGATGAAAACAAAGTTCTAAAAGAGTGTAAAACAGCAAGTGAGGAAAAAGCTGAGCGTTTGAAGTATTTGAAAGCACAAGCTGAATTGCTAGAAAAAAAAAAGAAAGAGACAGACGAAAAAATTGCGCTTGAAAAGTATGACCAGCGTCTTCGGTAAGTGAAAGATATTTAATAATTCGATTTGCGTTACAGTTATTGATGTATTTTATCGTTTGTAAAGAAACTAATGGTAGGATTGTTAGAGACTCGGGTATATATTCAAACTTTTAGAGAATATCATTTTGGGTTTTTGTAAGCAAATGTATCAGGTTCGAGTCTTGGTACAAACTACAACACTGGAATAGATGTAAAAATGGCTAACGAATCTTAAATAGGATTAAACGCAAGTCCTAGACTCGACTGCCAGCCGCAAGTCCGTACAATCTATAAAAACTTGTCAAGATCCTTATATCGGAACAGTCAGCACTGAATGTTTGTATATCAATAAATTCAGTCAAAATTATTGACAAAGGGACAACTCAGATTCTTTTTAATAGTGATATAAATTAAATATTTGTACAAAATAAATGGTCTGTAAAACTGAAATCTGACGCCAACCATGCTAACAGATTAAATTAAGGAAGCATCTAAGAAATAGTAGTAAAATCAAATACGATACAGATCAACTGTTAATGAAAATTGGAAGTATCAAAGGGTATCTTCGAATACTTTGCATTGGATTCATGATATGTGACGCCACGTTTCCATGATCTTACAAAACTCTATCAACGTGAGATCCAACAGAGAGGGTTAATAGACTTAAGAATAAGCTTTAGTGTGATTGTATCGAGATAGCTAACTTATGCTGTTGAAATCTGGACTATTTTATAAAAGGAAGTATATCAGAATTTTGAAATGTCTAAGCCAGTTTCCTAATTTTTAATGCTCAGCAAAACAAAACCTATTCGCATGACAATTCTATCAGCTTAGAGGCTTTTTAGAACCTTGGAATACAGTACGCTGATGGTTCCAAACGTGCTTGTTCTCAGGATTCCTTAGTTTCATATCAAACATAATACCTTTTAACCGCTTGACTTAAATACGACGTTTCACATATTTAAACCACATACAGAGATTAAACTACCTTCAAGTTTAAAAATCTCTGCGTGTAAGATAATAACCCAGTGGTCATTAGTGAGATAAACATCCTGAAATTTCCATGAGAAAACTTGAACTGTGGAGTCAGGTCAGTCGAAAGTAAAATCGATAAGCACCAATTATTTTTAATAATCATCCAGTTGTACTGCTAACAAACGAAGTTGAACGATGTAGGTGCGTTGGATTTCAAATCTGGTGGATTTGTATTAATCTCATTGCAAGAGACGAGAATTTCTTGAAGAGTTATTGTATCCCAATTAAGTCCCAGAATGTGTCGAGACCTCTGTGTATTGTTTGGAGGTTTCCGTTATTCTTTGGAGTCATTTTAGTCATTGGTAAAAATGATCCTTAAACTTTACGAGTGGACTCATTTCGGAGCGCGTTAGGTGGCTTACTACAAGTTTTAAATAATCTTTTACTTTCCAGATAACATTCGTGATGTAATGACTGATGTAGGTTTTCCCGTTTAAAAGTCATTTGTATTCCCATCAATAGCTTTTTACAAACATAAAATAGTCAGAGTAATGTTACTTTTGATAGAGAAATCAACAAAAACCCACAAATATGAAAATATATGAACACTAACATGGATGACACAAGTTTGTTGGAAAAACGTGTGCGTAAGGCAAAAATAAATACTTACACTGACATTTTACCTACCACTATGACTCTTTAGAGAAGATAACTTTCAAATAAACAAAGTTAGAACAACTATATTTCGTTCCAATGGGTATCAGAATAGACTGATACTAAGTCGTCATATTAAGCCTAATCAATCCAAACAACTTAATAAGCTTCAATAAACTTTTTTAATGCATAAGTAAACTCATTCTTTTGGACTCCCTGTCGAAAATGTTTTTATTCTAAATATACCGGAGTAACCTCCATATATTGGCGAATTCATTATGAAGGTAAACTATTTTTTAAAATACACTTGTGGAGATAGTCAATATAGACTTATTTTGTAATTATTCACGTTTCCTACAGGGGATTCTTTTTAGTGGCTGATTCTGTGTCAAGCCACATAGGCCATTCTGGCTTCTGAACAGACCAATCTATTCATTCTTCTTAAACCACGTTTTGACCTTGTCACTTATTGCTTATTAATTCTGACATTTTTACATAATCGTATGTGTGTTAATTACTTACATATTCATCATGTGTCTGTAATTTATTTTTGTGTGACTGTAAATATCAGTTTACGCTTGGCCCACTTGCCTTCTCCGATCAGCTTAACTCTTCCTTCTTCGTTTTGTTTCACTGATTTTCTGTTCAAATTAATTACTGCATGAAATATGCATATTCAGAATCCATTCTCATATTTGTCCTATTTAATTCCGTTGTTTCCTAACACGACTTATGTTGGTATTAACATACTAGGGTAGCTGAGATGTATATTTCAATAACAACCAGCAAACGATCTAATTGGAGTCAGATAAAGTGACACAAAATACTCAGCGATGTTTTAGAAGAACAAAAAATCTGTTTTAAACTGACTACGTGGTAAAAATAAATAGGTTACTATTCTTCAATGTCAAACTTGTAGATCTTTACAATATGACTTCTTAAACATAAACCACATGCTAACGGATAAGCAGGTTTGTTTTAAGATTGGGAGAGGGGTTTACAACTCAAGTAATTTCAGAGTGTTGTTGAAAAATGAATAATGAAAGTACGTTGAACTTTGTATGTATTTACGATGTCTATATTTGTGAACTTCGGAGTGGTTTCTCCACAGTAAAGTTTTTAAAAAAATTGCTACAGATGTGAATATTTATTTCCCGTTACTTCATACTGAGTAATCATGGTTTAAGCCTGGTAGGGAACTTAATATTTTCCAAAATTTTTACCAGAGAAGAATGTGCTGAATTACGTCAGGAATTAAGTAAACGTAGAGCTAAAGAAATCGCCCGTGATCTTTTAATCCAAATTGAAATGAAACAGAAGCAAAATCTTCTAGAGAAACGTCAAAATGACTATTTGGATAAGCTCGTATTAACTCACTCAAAGGATATGTCCAATGAAGCTGATGCGCAGATGATTGTAGAAGGAAAAAAGTAATTTGTTTTTGAGTTTCTTTATTTTCAGGCGGACCGCAAATGTTTTAAGGCAACAGATAGAAAGAAAAGAGCAGGAGAAACTTGTAGAAAAAGCGGAGAAGCTGAAGCAAGCAAACGCTTTGGTAAATTAGCTATTATTATTATTATTATTATTATTATTATTATTATTATTATTATTATTATTATCAAATAAGCATTTAGTCAACATGTCAGTTCGATTACTTCATTTAATAGTTAAAGTTTTCTTAAAAATCCAGCTGAAATCCCGTTCAAAGTAAACAGGTAGTTGAACGTTCATCACATTACATTTAAGTACTCAGTGAGAAAGATATCTGCAAATTAGTATTCTTTTTCACAACGGTTTACCAGTTATAAGTATACTGAATATCAACATTTAGTAAGCAAACATCCTGATAATAGTTGTTCGTGCAGACTACGTATTTCAGGTTCTTTATACGTTACAATTCATTAGTAGCACTTAAAATGATTAGATATTCGAGTTTAAATGATTTATTACAAAGGGTTATTTATGTAAACAAAATAATGTTTCACTGAAGGAAATTTTTTGTATGATACCATTTACGAGAGCTGCACAATTGTATTTATAGTTTTTTTCATACATAAAGTCCATAATAAAAATTGGGAGCTACTGAGTCATTAACAACAGTTCAAATTATTCAATCAGTCGATTATATTCATACTGGAGTCATAGATTTATGCAGGATTTCACTTCCCAGATCAGAAGACTAATAGGTTCATTTCAGATATTGATGTATAGAAAGCCAATTCGGAGTGGGGAATATACTTATTTCCAAAGTTAGGTTTCGCAGAGTAGGAAGAAAAATCTAATAAATTCTCTATCTTTGTGAGCTTGAGGAATATGTACAGAAGACACGATTAACGTGAAATAGGAAAAAAAACCAACAAATATTTATGGATTTCTTCTAAAGTTCATTGATAACAACCTGAAGCCAGAAAAGTTAATTGGGAGAGTCCCTACCGTCCATTGAGTTCAGAGGAGATACAGATGCGGAGACATTACTAACTTTATTATTCAAATCATCGAAGACGACTTTTTATCCAAATGAGATACAAATTGTATTTTTATTATAACGGAAAGAGTATCGGAGAAGTCAGAACTCTTGGGACTATTTTTAGGATTATCATTGTTTGTATTTTTATTTTATAAGTACTAGGTAACTAGACCATTATGTTTCTACATTTCGTTTACTGTGAGCTTCCATTTGATTCACTAGTCATTACTATATGTTTTATTATTCCAAAATCGTTACTAATCGATTATTCATAGTTTGCTCCGTTCATGGCCACTTTCTATCAGTTCGTTAAACAGCTATGATTTCCTGCGTTAAGGTTCGATGTAGTCTAGTTAGTCATGTACATAGGCTAATGAGTACCTGAGGTAGCTGCTGAACTGGTTTATTGAAATATAATATGTAGGCTTGTCTGCAGTCTTCTCTTTGGACTGAAGGCTTGAGATAGAAGACAATCTTGAGTATCGGCAGATTAATGAGAGTTATCCTTACATTGGCTGAGATTATTTCTATCGGCCAGAGTATACCATTGATTGAGATCAACGGCACCAGGCTATGGTTATTTTTTTTATAAACGTGTTCTCTATTCTCCTATATTCACCAAATGTGAAGTTAACTTTCAGATCTTTGTTCTATAGCTTATTTTATAAATTGCTTTTGACACGTGTTCGTTCATATTTTTAGTCTTATAATCATTCACTGGATAACCTTTTGTATCTCGTTTATATATTTTATTTTGATGACTGTTTCCCTTCAAATTTCAATAAATTCTTAGTGCCTCTTTTAGTGATTTAATAATTCCCAATTTTTATCATCGACCACTATATACGGAAAGTAACTGTAAAATCGATTGTACAACTCTTGCAAATGATATCGTTCAAAAGAAAATCTCCTTCACTAAAACGTTTTAATTTTGTCTAGTTGTTCAGAGGATTTCTTTCGTCGATTGTTTATTTTCTTATTTAACGTTGGTCAAACATTCAAATCATTTGAATGATTTCAAAAGATGCTGTTTACCAATCAAAATTACGGGGTACCATCTGTTTACTTTGATAAACAAATGAACACTATAGACTATTTATGGGCCATATTAGGCTTTTATACTGGTTTTCCATACAGTCCCGACCGTTGCTGTTACTTTGACGTGGTGGTCGGGTTTGCCTATCATGATGAACCAATCGAGCTATATTGGCTGGAACAATCGTTCCTGAAGGTCTCACCATACCAGACAGGTCGGTTGAAGAGCGGTAAGACTAAAAGCAACAAACTCAAGGTCGGAAGGCGAAGTCGTACTACTGACTGTAAAGAGGTGTGACGCAGTAAGGTGTTTCCTTCAGACAACCAGCACAACAGCGATGCTGCCTTCCCACAAGGAAGGATGGGGTTAGAAAAAGTCGATCCTAAAAATGCACACCTCGCCTTATCCCACGGATATCCATCTATGGCAGTAAGGTCCCAACGAGTACGGAGCTAACAAGAGAATTACAAAAAGGTCGTATATGACCCACCCCAAGCAGTTGTCTCTTGGGCATTGAGGTCACACTCACTCCCAACTCGATTTCCTTTCAGGTACCTCCAGAGGAACCCTTCCACGGTGTGGGCAACCAGGAAGTGATAACTGCCCTCATACCCCTAACAGAACTCAAGATCACTCTATTCATAATCAGTCATGGAGAAAATATAGTTGTTCACTACAATCAATCCTATGCAAACCAAAGGATGAAATAACAAAGGAAAACAAATCAATTATCACCTAAAAAGTAAATTATGCCAACTGCGAAAAACACTACACCAAACAAAGTGGATGCCCCCTTCACCTTCGCCTACATGAACATCAAATAGAAGTCAAACGCTATGATGCCTCCTCACTTATATCAATACACGCGGACAACTGCGGGCACTCATTCGATTGGAAAAATGTGGAAATCTTGGACGGAGGAAATTCCAGAAAACCAGAGAAATTTTAGAAGCCTGGCACTCAGGTCAATCAGCAATCAACAAGCATACTGAAATCGATCCAATTTATCAGCCAATCAGGAAAATTCATAATCATTCTCCCTCTTCAATTCCTATTATGTCAACTTTCAACTCTATATTCCCTCCTCAAGTGTCACCATAGCCAACGATTCTAGTGAGAAAATCACTGTGCCAGGTCTAGTGAAACCTTGCTCCTAATTACACATTGGAGCCTTCAGCGTACTCACCCTATTTCAAATCGGCTAGCAGGCCTCCTTGGTTAAAACCCTAGAATCTCGTACCATTGATGTATGCTGTGTCTCCGAAACTCGCATATAGGATCATAGTGTGGTCATTCACTTGACCTCACCTCGCCAAAACGGAGAACTGACGACACATACCTTCTGTTTATCTGGCGACCTGATGGCTATTTCTCGTGGACTGGCAGGTGTAGACATAGCACGAGGGCAGAGCAAGCTCTATTGGGATGGATCCCCGTTAACAATCGCCTGTTTGTTGTTCGACTAAACGGCTCCGTAAGAACTCGGAAGGATAGGGACACACGTCGTTGCCTTTTCGTTGTTTCTAGGTACGCCCCACTGACTGTAGGCCAGATGAAGTGAGAGATGACTTATGCAGAAAGCTTTCTGAACTTTTTCAAAAAGCTAAACGCTCAGACATAGTACTCGTAGGAAATGACTTTAATACCCAGGTAGGTAGCTTAAACAAAACAGAATGACATTTAGATGAGTATTTTAGTGTTCCGGCTCAGCAGTCAGATAATGGTGATCGTCTGCTGCAACTGTGCTCAAACAATCGTTTATTTTTAATAAACACTAATTTTAAGCACAAGGAAAGACATCGTCTAGCATGGCAACCTCGTGCACCAAACCAACGATGGAATCAAATAGACCATATTGCCATCAGTCACCGTTGGAGAGGCTCGATAGAAGATTGTCGCTCGTTCTGGAATACCTTGTGGTGGTCAGTATTCAATATAATCCCTAAACTTCGTATACAGTTCGTCTTGATAACTATCACTAGATAACGCCCCAACGGTGTATTCATCAGAAGGCCAATACGAAGTGTTGACCAAGTTTATTATTACACCACACACAGATAACCAAAATTACAGGTACGCTAAGCAAGCATGAAATAGTAGTGCCGAAAAGTAAGCGAACGAACGAGTCGAATGGGCGGGTATGCGAGGAGTCAATGAACAGAATTAAAATGTACATATATATACATAGGAAATCAACTAAGCGACTAATAGTAAGGCCAGCAGAATGAATGTATGCGTAGGCAGTAAGCAATACTCAGGTATACATATTCATACAAGTGCAACAATAATAAAGGCACAATAGTATAGATAATTTATTGTACGAATGATTCTGTCCGTTAAATAAGTTAACAAAAGGGCTCAACCAAATTAAATGTGAACAAGCTCGATTTAACGTGAGCTGCTGTAGCCTGTTTGGACTCCAATCATGCTCTGATACGAGCCCGCATTTGTTGGCGCCTCTCTGAACGCAGAAAGTCCACATTAAGAAGACTCATTATAGTTGAACTCAGTAAAGGGGAAACCGAAAGTAGATTCTAGGAACAACTGAAGTCACACTTAGGTAGTTCTAAAAACTAGGCTCACCCAGATGTTGCTCGGAAAGATATACGAACAGCTGTGGAAACACCGAAAGGTTACGAAAAACCAATGGATCTCTACTAAGCCTATTGCACTGATAGATTCTCGTAAACTCATATCCTCAGGCTCTGGACACGACAAAGGCAAATCAGACCTAGGTTAACCAAAAGTCTAAGGAACAACCGTGGGCAGTGGTGGGCAACGAAAGCAAAATAGATGGAAAAGGCATCAGCTGTACGTGACAAAAGACAGCTTTACAGACTAATAAAAGAAACTGGGATTAAGAAGCCATTCGTGAGACGATCTCAGAAAAAGACGACACTTATCAGCTCTCAGCTCAGACATTTAGAGCGATGGGCGAAACACTTTAAGGAGCAGTTCAGCTGACCTTCAGCTACTCTACAACTATCTACCATTCCCAAACAACCTGAACGGAACATTGAAGTAGGTCTCTCAACTCTAGCTGAAGTCCAAAAAGCTATAGCTAATCTGAACGAGGAAGTGCAGCTGGTCCAGATGGATTGGCTCCAGATGTCTTTAAGGATGGTAGTCCAGTTTCAGCGATCAGGTTGGCTAATATTTTAGCTAAAATCTTGGAATTGGTTGTAGTCTCATGTGCTGGTCGCAATCACTAATCATCCAAATATGTAAGAATCAAAATCACCTTGTGATAACCATAGAGAAACTAGTTTAACTAATATAGCATTTAAAATACCAGCCTTAATAATTATCGGGCACTTAGCAATGACTTGTGAACTGCAAACACGAGAAAATCAGGCTGGTTTCAGAACTGGTCGTGGCCGTATCGACCACATATTCACCGTTCGTCAGGTTCTACGACACAGGCATGCTTATTAGCGTCCGACAATGATAGTTGTTCTTGGCTTGAAAGCAACCCAAGCTGCCAGCTTTGGGGTTTGCGTCTCATTTCCTCAAAATGGACCACATTTTCCCCAAAGTTGGCAGCTTGGGAACATTTGACTCTGTAGAACGAGAAGTTCTATGGCAGTGTTTGTCATTGAAAGGTGTACCTCAGAAGCACATGAACCTTGTGAAGGCTCTCTACTTGAGCACTACCAGTCGAATCAGAACATATGACAAACTGACATCTGATTTTGAAACTTCAAGTGATGTCTGTCAAGGATGTCCACTGTCTCTATTTTTGTTCAACTTCATAGACCTACTGCTGAAAATAACGTTCTCTTCGTCTGAATTTTCGGGCATTGGTCTCCTTCCAGGAGATCCACTTATCGACTTGGAACACACAGACGACACAGTCCTGTTTGATGAAGACGTTGATAAAATGCAGTTTCTTAGTGGTACTGAGCATTAATGCCAGGATGTTTGGGATGCGTTCCTTCCTCTTTAAATAGTTGCTTCAGGATTGGCCTGCGTCAACATCTGAACTGATGATAGGAAGTGAATTAGTTGAACGCGTCGACAACCCCACTTATCTTGGAATTCTGATCAGCTCTAATGGGTCGGTGTCTGATGAAATCTCAGCACGGATTCGAAAAGCTCTTTTGGCTTTTTTCACCTTACGTCACATATGACGAAGGCAAAATATCCGTCTATCAATAGAAGGACGAGTATACTACACAGCAGTTCGTTCTGTTCTACTTTATGACTGCGAAACGTGGCCATTAAGAGTAGAAGGTACTCGTGAGTTAGTAGTATTCGATCACAGATGTCTTAGAAATATTGCTCGCATCTGCTGAGATCACCAGATAAGCAATAATGAGGTTAAACGCAGAGTATTAGGGAATGATGGTAAGCCAGAAGATTTTGTAAATCTTCATCGACTGAGGTGGTTGGGCCATTGTTACGTATGCCTGGACACCGATTACCACGACTCGCAATGCTGACTAGTGTTGGGGATGGCTGGAAGGAAGTTAAGGGCGGCCAAACCAAGACGTGGCATCAGTGCTTGAAGTCACTAACTTCTGGTCTGAACCATGTTGGTAGATGCAGGCTGCTTGGTCGGGGTCCGCGTGACGATCATAACCAATGGCTGGAGACTGTGACATGGCTCAGAATCGATCAAATTAGCGTAGGTGTATACACCCTTTGTCTTCCCTTAAACCGTGAGATAAAAATCACTTTATACTTCACTTCCTACGAACTAATTCTTTCTACCTGAATTATATCCTTTTATGCAATCTTTCTTTTATATATTGTTACCATGGAAGTGATTACTTCTGTGAATTTGGTGTTCATCTTGTTGTGCTAATTAGCTGTGGCTACTCGGACCGGTGCTTATATGTGCCTGGTCCTACGTTGTAGCTGACTGAATGATTTCCCATACAGTACCTTACTATTCTGATGGTTTTGTCAGCTTGTACTATATACTGAGCAGCCATGTAGAAGTCAGCTGAATTTTAGTAGACTTAGCAATTACAAATTTTACTACCTATTGCTTTCGATCCAGTGTACACTGAAGTAAATAAATATTGCGTCCCTCTGGAAATAATGTGTTCTGTTTATCATAACCTGTTAGGAAGAATTAAATAAGCAACTGAAGCAAGAAAAAGAAGATGAGGTAACAAAAAAGAAACTAAGGTTCTCTAAGGTGAAATTGGACTTGAACAAGTGTTTACAGGAAAAACTATTGAGGAAATCAGAAGAACGCAACCAAGAAGCTCAGTACGACAATTTACTAACCCTTTTAAATCAACAAGTAGATAAAGAGAGGAGTGGAAAGCAGAGGGACAAGGTAATGTATTCCAGGAAATGTATTTTTACATATTTTTATTGACAATGAATAACAAAATTGTTTAGGTATGTATAAACTAGGTATATCAAATCAGAAACATTTGTTACTAAATAAGTCAAAAGCATATGACTATTTCTAGCACATTTACAAAGTTTATGAAAAGTAAACGTTAGTGGTGTTTGGTATTGTATATTATTATTAACGTTTAATTTATTTTCGAAATCCATTTCGCTTCATAAATTCTAGGCAGTGAATGTACTTGCAGAGAGATAAGTTTGTTTCATAAATACTTAACACTGATGTGATGGTAGAACATTTAGACGCTGCTATGTTTTGTTAGCTAAACACTTTTGTATATTGGGAAGATAGTCTAGCACCTTGTATTAAAACTCTCTGCATGTATTTAGAATTCTCTGATAAACAATGTGTAATAACACTATGTACCTCGATCAATATTACAACTCAACCTCCAAAAATATAGCTATCGGTTAATAACTTTTATCACATGATTGCTAATACAGATTAGGTAAAATCACCATCACATTAATTGTTTACACTTCATGAACTTTCTTATCGTTAGCTCAGATCCATTCCCATCATAACTGTTGGACTTATTTACTTACCATCCCGGCAAATTAACTGGATGTTCTCACACCAAAAATCTTTCCGAGTTGTTTTTCTAAATTCAACAAATCAGTGACCTTTAGAGACCGTCTATTGTAGGTTTGGGAAAATCCGGTTCGTGATTCACTATTTATACGCTACTAGGCATACTTGGTAGTCAAACACTACTAATTTTGGCTTGTTATGACAATTCTATTCGTTTTATATTGATTTCTTTATTCTTCGTAATTACCACAGACGTTTGTTATCTTAGTCAGAGAGAAATATGAAATTCGGTGTCGATGGTGTTCTAATGTTTAGCCCAGATTCTGCATGGTCAGTGTCTTATGCAAATGGAAGAAAATCTTGCAGCAAATCCCAGGGGGACCTTACTTTTTAAGTAGTATCATAATGTAAACAAGACCGGAAATTAATTATTGTGTTAGCAAACTATTTTATTTGATTACTGAAGACAACGTGCTGAATGAGAGATGTTTCTTTTCTTTAAAGTATGATTACAAATTGCTGACCTGACAATGTGAAGGTAATCAGAAATAGGATTTAGTGAAAAAAATTCCCTTGGTTTTAAATAGCCCAAATAAAAAAACCGATTCAATCATTCGACTTTTAGGTTACTTTAAAGAAAGAGGCGTTACAGTATTTAGAGCATGTTCGTAATTCAAAAGAAGCCGAAAAGATGTATGAGGAAGAAATTAGCAGAAGTATTGACGAACATATTGCAAAGCAACAAAATCTTGGTCACCATAAGAAAATGCAGCTTCTAGTAGCTAGAGAAAATTTGAAAAATGATGTAAACGAAGTATGTCGACAACAAATAATGGAAAAAAGTTAGTTGTATGTCTTTATATAGTATTTTATTATATTATCCCAAAATGGTATTAGATAAATATTTGTTAATTTGTCTATTGTGCCTTAAAACATCCTTAGAATACTTGTAAATGTGCAGAAACGTTTTCTAGATTCAACAAATATTGACAACTACTCCATGATATTGCCATCAGTTTCAAGCTTCCTGGTAAAAGGAACATGTTGATTACAAATCATATTGCAAAAATAATACCAGTGGATGTAGGATGACACAGGTTTCATTGAGTAGGAATAATAATCCCAATGGATAAACGTCTGAGTTTATTTGTTAAGTCCTTGAGGAAATGGAACCATTAATTATCCAGGGTACTGGTGATTCACTCTTTGTTTTGGAAAACATGACCGCACTAGTTTAGCGTTCATTTAAAATATAGCCAAAAGATGAAAAACTATGGTTACAGATTTTACTAAATATCTGGCTAAAAGGTATCAAATCTATTTCAGTCACAACACTTCTACGTATTTCATGAATAAAAATAAGTATGCATCTTCTGACTGTCTCAAGTGATCAATTTGTAGGATGTGTAAAATATCACTGCACCCTTGTTGAATTGTCTATGGAGCTGAACTTATCCCTACCTTGGAGGACTTGTCAATGATTAGGTTGTTTGACGAGCTACATTCAAGTCAAATATAGACAACTAGGGTTGACCATTACAAACTACAGTACTAATACAAGCAGTAGTCGATTGCTTCTCGTCCAGATTCATACGCTATGTGTCTAAGCAAAGGGTTAGGTGGCAAGACTTTATTCGCTTTCTGAATCTTCCTATACAAGCTAAATAGCCGTAAAGATGACACAGATATACAAGATTCTACAATGCTCTTGTCTGTATCACTTTTATAATTTAAAGATATCAACCCAGACAAATCAGAAGTCAGAGATGAATGCGTTCAAAGATACATCTGTAAGGTTTTCGAGACGTGGAGAACCGTTTGATCTAAGCTGGCTAGTAGTTGCAAGGAAACCGTAGCACGACGTACCCACTCATGATCGGGTGTGGGTGCGCTTTTAGCTAGGGTGTGTTCAGTGAAACTACTGAGGCCAGAATCAATGTCGAAGACTCACGGAGCTCTTTATTTTGAGGATTCATTTACTGCTACAGCCGGACCGCCAAGTTAGGTGAAGTCAAGCTAAACAGTTATTGCACATTGTGAATCCAACGTAAGATTGCGTACTTTGCACAGTTACACTATTCATGTACAACCCCAGGATATTAACACCCACACTAAATCTCATCCAGCTAATGAATATGGGATGACACCATTTTGAATTTGACATACGGCCTGTGACTGAGATCGTACTATCACTAGATATTCGGTCGATACTTTATACATAAATTGAATCAATTTACACCAGATACACGATTTACGTCCAAAAATAGGAAGCCATAGTACGAGCTAAACAATTCTTTACTCAACACAATTACAAGCAACCAATATTCAGTGATTGCATAGTAAAAATTAACAACAGGAAGCAGACCACATATTTGATAGTTGGCAATCCTAGTGTCTGTTTGCTCTCAGTGGCCAATCACATTTTACTTCCGCTAGTCACACGTTAAAGGTGGGATCTAGTTTGAAATACTATTCGAGCTGATATTAGAAGACATCTAATATCATTATCGAAATTTATCAAAGGGACTAATTGTTTTAGTGTTTTATTATTTGTTTTTTTTTCCAGGAAAAAAGCAGGATGAAGAAAAACTTGTACACATAGAAGAAGTGAAACAACTGAACGAAGTTATTGAACGAATGAAGTTAGATTCTAAGTATGAGCTGCAGTTGCGACGCCAGAATGTTGAGACATATCGTAACGCCTTAGAACGGCAAATCGCTGACCAGCGAACTAGATATCAACAACTAATAGCTGACAGTGCACGGGAGTTTGAGAAGAATAAGAAAATAGAGGAACAGCTTACCGAACTTGTTCATAATATCGTTAATTCAAATGAAACTGACTACAACAGACATCCATGGCAAAAACTGTTAGCTACTGGTCACTGGTCTATTCCAGTGTGGGATGGTGATCCTCAAATATCGAAATTTGCAAGTGCAAGGTACTAAACCAGAAAATTAATATTATCCAACGTATTTGACTGTTTTCATTATAAATCTAAGAGGAATTATTACTACTGTTGTTGTTGTTATTGAAACATGTTAAACCACGTGATTTTACTGAAGCATCATTGAGTAATTTGCTCAATGAAAATGAAAAAAAGATCATTTATCCTATATGCTGCTTTTCATACCTATAAATGGTTGGTCACTATGTTAAAGGTGAAGTATCGACCGAATATCTAGTGATAGTACGATCTGTCACAGGCCGTATGTCAAATTCAAAATGGTGTCATCCCATATTCATTAGCTGGATGAGATTTAGTGTGGGTGTTAATATCCTGGGGTTGTACATGAATAGTGTAACTGTGCAAAGTACGCAATCTTACGTTGGATTCACAATGTGCAATAACTGTTTAGCTTGACTTCACCTAACTTGGCGGTCCGGCTGTAGCAGTAAATGAATCCTCAAAATAAAGAGCTCCGTGAGTCTTCGACATTGATTCTGGCCTCAGTAGTTTCACTGAACACACCCTAGCTAAAAGCGCACCCACACCCGATCATGAGTGGGTACGTCGTGCTACGGTTTCCTTGCAACTACTAGCCAGCTTAGATCAAACGGTTCTCCACGTCTCGAAAACCTTACAGATGTATCTTTGAACGCATTCATCTCTGACTTCTGATTTGTCTGGGTTGATATCTTTAAATTATAAAAGTGATACAGACAAGAGCATTGTAGAATCCTGAATACCGGTATATTACTTAAGGCCTTTGGCTTCCCCTCGTTTTATATTACTTAGATAATTCTCAACCCCCTCAAGTCATTTTTGTATCCGGAGAATCTTTTGTTTTGGGTATTTAAGATATGATACCTGAGTGAATAAAATGCGTTTGGATCAAGTAGTAATATTTTTGGTGTACTATCTGAACTATTGCATCTTCAAAAACTGTGTTTTGGAAGAGAAAAGCTTTATTTTAAATCCATATTCAGAATATTATATCGGTGGCCTACTCAAGTTAGTCGAGAGTGGTGCGACGAACCAGCTAACGTCGAAGTCACAACTCGTGGTCAGCACCATACGTGGACCACCCCATCGACGTATCAAGGTACTGTAGATGCTTTGAAGACTGTACAACACAGAGGAGGTTATTACAGAAATACATTAATTAAGGTAGATACAAGCGAAAATAAGACCACTACCGCATAGGCCAGTCCATGGTGTAACACATATAATCAGTAGTCACTGATAGGCGGGAAGACCTAAAATCACAACACACACAATGTTAACCGAGCACTTCAAACCAGAGAGAACACGGAATGGGAACCACCAGTGGTGTATCTGAAAATTAAAATTTGCGTGCCATGTACAGAAGGGAGAGCTAGTTTGCAAAACAGTCTAATGAGTTATCCTGAAGGTTCAGCGCATGCGGAGCTTGCTCTTCTTCTAAAGCATTTACTCTCGGTTGCCCTGCAATAGAAAAGGAAACAAAATACATTAACAACACCATACACGATGACCTTAACCCCGTTACAATGGCGTGCGTTTAACTGGCGCGCGTTGAATATCATCGACCTTGACGAGAACAACGATTTGTCGATATTCAGTGACCCAACTGCCGGAGGAGTTGGCTAGGGCTCAGTAAGTTTCACTGTCCCTTCAGTACCACTCACTCTTAAGGTTTAATTACTTTTTTGTTCAATACAGAAATCTCATACGATACTCAACTATCTGATCTGAATTTACTGAACCTAGTAATAAGTTTTTGATTAATAATTGATTAAGTACATTGTGTGATCATCTAACAAGCGTAAGCACCACGGCTTGAGGCTTCTTGTCCTTGGCGCTTTCATCTAGCAAGATGAAGCTTTTCTTTTATCGACATATTATCACTATAATTTAACAAAGACTAAGTCTCAAAGTCATTGTATGTACATCTGTCACACTTCCTGACATTTCGAGTCGCAAGTGATTTTGCTACATTTGATTCCCAGTATATCTTAATTCTTCCAAATAAGGCTACTAAGTTTCTCGTTCATACGTATTGTTCTATATTTAAGTTAAGCTACTTTTACTGATATACCCACGTTGGATCTGATATTGTAACTTAGTAAACGTCAGGTAGCTCAAGACTGCCGCACAATCTCCTCACAGTTTTCCGATCCTACATTACTTTCTGCAGTTCATATTATACGTTTCCAAGTTCAAACACTATATGCCATGCTTCCCTTAAATATCATACATCGTCTTTTCATAAATTACTATGATATACGGATATGCCGTTCAACTAATAAAGGTCTTACGTTTGTTAAGCCTTAAAACTATCACTTAAACAGATGACCAAAACATTATCAACTCCAAAGTGGTGTGACTCTGTTCTTGTCAATGTTCCACTTGTTTAATGCTTTCATATTCATTTTATTAACTCACTTCTTTGTTGATCTCGTTGCTAATTGTCTTATTGTTAGGTATTACATCCCCGTATCGTTCCACCTACTCTATTATATACCTATCAATCATCATGTTTTCCTGATAACTAATACTTTATCCGAAAACTCATACGTTATCACATAGAAATTTACAACACTGCATCGATGTTCAACCCGCAGCCCATAAGCCGTGACCATTTGATATGCCTATAACATGGTATTTGAAGAAATAGTTTTCATAATTAGGTACGAAAGAAAAAGCCTTGAGTAGAACATAATTTATTCAACAATCACTCTGAAATAGCCTAGCATCGAAAAATTGAGAAAAGGTGATTTCATTGACCATCAGAGGTTAGTTATCAGGGTAGCAAATTAAATTAATGATGCTTGTGTAAGAGATATTTTTTTGTCTCCGGCTCCCTATAACTGGATGCGAGGCGACTATTCAATGAAACTAAGGTTGTTCTCTCATGCTTGCTATTTCTCAAACTCATGTTTTGAATCGCTTTAACTATGATATACTACTAAGATAACATAGTACACTCTAATACAGACTTTCATTCTACGACTAAAATGCTGACGTTTGGTCACAGAAATAGTAAACAAATAATAAAGAATTTGCTAAAAATATTAGAGTTTTAAATCATTTCACGTCCATAGTTATGGATTTATGGAATTTATTGAGTAGGTTTCAGGATTTCGATTTGAGTTTTCGCCCTCCTACTCAGAATCATTTCACTTCGTTACAATTTGCAGTTTATTATTAACTGTTTTGCAATTAATCCGCGGATTTACGAACTATAGTTTAGTGGCAGTAATTAGTATGAGCTTGACACAATAATCATGAATACACTTGTTTCTGCATTGCAAAACATTCAGGATCGTTTATGATTAAAATAGATTCTCTTAGCCTCTGGACTTCTCTCTTTTGTTTTAAGCAACAGATTTGCAGTTATGTGGCTTCTACCTTATACGAGTCGTGTCCCCGATGTGGGCAACCGCCTCTATCGTACCTAATAACAGGCGCTAGTGTTCTATCTACAACTATGGAGATTTCATTACTCAAGCATATCGAATTCTTAACGTATATATTTTTATGTAAGTGATGGTTTTACAAAATGTGTATCAATCTGTCATTAGGAACATCTAAACTTTGCTGAAAACCAGCTTCATCCTGACTGTGTAGAGAATGAACTTTACAGATAAAGTATTTGGGTTTCTAATTCTGATAAAGAAGTTGTCAAGTGCTTGTGTTCCCTCATTGAGTTTTATATTATTTGAAGAGGACACTGTGAATTACAGATGTTGTTAGCTCAGTTCTTACCCTTGACTGAGATGTTGAAACTCTGGTGGTTAACATTCTTGATGAGGAAAACACCCAGTTTACAGTGTAGCAGCAAATAAATCCCCAAAATATATAGCTCTGTCAGTCTTCGACATTAGATGCTGATCACATTAGTTTTAATGGGCGATCGGTCACACATCCGCACCAGATCACGAGTGGGAACGCCTTGCTCAATATCCCCTGCAATCGCAAGCCAGATTAGATCAAACGATCCTCGATATATTGATAGTCAATCAAATATATCTTCAAACCTCCCCGCTTCTGGCCTTTGATTTTACTGGGTGGGCACGATTCAATTATAGAAGTTATTACCTGTTGAAGGGTTGTCAAACTATGAATACCTGTGACATCTTCATTGGTGAGTTGACGTTATCTGGTACAATGACTTGTAAAATGTCTGTTCCTTTTTGGAATGTCATATATCATTGCTTTACTTTAATGTTTAATTATTGTGATATTTTTTCGTTTTTTGGATATATCATTCGGGTACTTCATATTCTCCATGATGGAACAGACACTTAAGGTATTTAAGTTAGAGACTACGAGAACTGCGAAGCCGATACCCTTGCATAATTCCTAGCAGTAGTTAAGGCACTACCGCCCGAACTTAACAAGTACGTAACACCTAGTATGTTAATTAGTGGTGTTTCGGAACCCTACGAAACTCTAAAACGTGGAGACCTAACCAATCGACAAAGGTTAGACTAACACCTTAATAATATCGATCTGCACCACGGTTCAGCGACAGACATGTTGTTAAGAACGAGAGAAGCAATTGGTTAAAGAACTTTCGATGATGGCCTATTTAGACAACTTACTTCTCTAAACTCCCTCAACAGGTGCAAGCTGTTCTGATCTCGGCCCAACCGCATCTTAGAGATTACCAAATCTTTTAACACCGAGGTTTATTCAGCCAAAGAACAACCTCAAGCGACACAAAATGACATTACGGAACTACGTCATACGCTGACATGCTACCTTCCAATTCGTAATGACCGTAAACGATCAGAAACCCCCAAAAATATTCACGGAAACGATCTGTCTGTAGACCACAACTGGTGCTGGTGTCACAATCGGTACGGTAAATTTTTTCGGAATTATAGAAAACCCTGCAGTTTTTCGAACTCCAATCCGACCAACAAGTAAAACATTAACGCATTAACGGCAGCCGTATTCGGCGGTCTTTAACCGTCTGTTATGCGTCACTGATTTGATAACGAAATTAGTGTTTTTCCA